CAGTGTGGTTAAGATTGTTAGGAAAGAAAACAAACAAATGAATACAAGACAGTGAAATGAGGGAAACTGTAAACTCTACCATACAATAGAAAAAACATAGCAGAATACTTAAAACGGGAAACTTGAATTATGCTAGCTAATTTCCTCTACTGCCCTTCATGTTTTTGATCAAATAAAATTTAATCAGTTGAGGGGTTTGCTTGCAATGTGTCAAATTACCAGTGTGGACATAATTTTTCCTTTGCGCAACTGGTAAAAGATAGATACTAAAAAAAAAAATATGTCCGTAAGAAAAAGTGCACATCATCAAAAAAATCACCCTTCACACCATAACATTGTTATGTATATTCTCCTTACTGTTCTCCATTCAATGCCACAGGTTCTGACAGGGAGAATTTATTTAAAAATCAAGAGCTTCTTTAGTTGGTGATCATTTCCTTTATTCCCATGACCTTAATGTTTGATTTAGAGGTGATACTGAAGGTAGAAATTAGATGCTAGTCACTCTTAGGGGTTAAAGGGTCAATTTGTAATACTTAGAATGACAGAAGCATTAAAAACGCATTGAGCTTTTTCCTCTTCACCAGTAAGTTAATTAGATTTTGGATTCTACATTCAAACTGGGTGAGATTAAATTTATTCATATATGCTTCATTATGGTTTCTTTACTTGGAAAGGTAATTGTTGTTATAGCTTCACAGATGTTTTGGTAGCTGTGGCAATTAACATCCAAAACAGAGTTTCATTTAACATAGAATGTTTCAAGATCTTTCTTCCTTTCTCTTCAATACCATTTGTTATTTCTGAAGCACAATTCAAGGAGGCAGGTTATTAAAAAAAATTACAACTTTTGATTCAGGTAATTATTTGAATATGTGAGTAACATTTAATGTTTTCACATGTAAGAGGATGATCAAGCTGAAATAGCCTCCAAAGGAGTGAACTCCACTGTAACAATTAGGTGACTACTTTGGAAACTTGAGCACTTGGTAAATACACCTCGCCTTGCAATTCTGATGATTACAGTTTGCTGAGGTAAATAAAATGACTCAGTCCCCATGCAGGAACTTTCCGCTCAACCAGTACAGTCATGCTATGAGATAACTTTAGAAAAATGCATTTGTGTTGCTAGAACTATTGTAAGTACAGTACCACCTAGTGACAAAAATCAACAATTTCCTGTAAGCATGAACTTTTGGGAGAAGTTATGGTGGTAATTGACCATTTCTTTGCAAGGATGCATAGGATATGATGATTGCAAAGTATATCTTTTAGATTTCAAACTTTCAACTTTGTATTGATTGTAACTGTTTGCCATATCTATTTCTCTGTGCCTTAAGCCCTCAAAGTTAAAGCAGGTGAATCAATAACATGACTTCTTTTGTTTGGAGTTGTGTGATTATATAATTTTGCTGTGTAAGTTACCACATTGTATATGTAATATTATTATATAGATTGCATTGAATACTCTAATTCAAGCTTTCATTAATGTATTCTGTTTCTTACCAATGCTCATACCCAAACTAAGCATTGATGTAAGGAATTGTTCACAAGATGTGCGAATTTTGAAGGGTGGGATCCGGAAAAGCAAGGATCCTCCTTTAATCAGGACCTAAATTAATGGGGGCCCTTTAATTCCTTAGCATTATTGGTTAAAAAATTGATACTTATGAATATTTATTCAAATAACATAATCACTATCAGTCTCATTCACTCTTACTTTCCATTGAGCTTATGGAAAGATTATAACCTCAGTATTTTTTTTAAATGAAGAAGGAAAGCCTGTCCTCTTACTACAGATAGTTCATTTGTGCATTATCAGTACAAACCTGGTCTAATTTGTACCGGGAGGTAATTGTTCCAAGTAGGCTAGCCTTATAAATTAGTTATGAAAATTTCTTGAACCTGCTGTAGTATGAATATTAGACTCAATTTTACCTCACTAACCTTATGCTTTTGAGGTGTGCATCAAAGTTTCAAATCATCGCAGGCTTAAAATACAGTTTTATAGGAAATCTGCATGTGCGTGTGTTTTTAACGTATAAAACCAGGATTATGACTTCTTCGAATGACTTTACCACGAGCTGTGCAGGTACAGGCAGTTTTCCCAGCTTTTTCATTAGTACACATTTCTTTTTTCCAAGAATCTTGATTATCCGGCCTAAGCTGAATTCTAATTTTTCAACCAAATTTTATTTTCTTTCGAATATTCTTAGATTTCCTAGTATCAGTTAATATTCATGTA